TGTTGAATAAGTTCAGAACAAAATGCAATTAACATAGCTTTGCAAGTCTTCTTAAAGCAACCTTGATCAAATAGCAAATCCTACAGCAGGATTTGTATTTGCAGCTCCCATGGTTAATTTGACATGAAAAGTGCAATTCAAATGAGAGCAGTAGCAATATGTACTGTTGCTCTTACCCAGGTTCTTACAGGTTCTGATTGTTTTCCATTACGACCCAAGTCTCTACCTTTGTTTTCTTTCCAGCAAGTTCCAGTCATGACGCAAATATAAAAAAAAAAAACCCTTCCCTCTAAATTAATTTTTCTAAGTAACAGATGGTATATCATTTAAATGTTTTAGCTGTTTTATTATACTTTAGATATTTTTGTTTCATTTTGCAAGCCACCTTAAGGTCCAACTGGAGGAGCAATGGGATTTGAATTAAGTAATAAGGGCATAATTTATGTAGGTAAATCATTTTTAGCATTATTAATTTAACTAAGAAAGCTAAATACATGCTTAAGTCTCCTTGAAATACAGGAATCAAACAAGGGTTTAACCTGGACTGGCTTGTATCTAAATAAATATATTTCATTTGTAAGTCTTGGTCCCTTTATTTCTGGCTAAGCCATATATTGTAGTTCTGTATGTAATATAAATTTAGAAAATGTAGACAAATTTTTGTGAAGGGAGCTGGTGAATAATTATTCTGGGCAGTGCTCAATGCTCACCTCACACACAAATTTCTGCCTGTTCTTGTTGCCCACAGCACGGATCTCATAAGCAATGGTGATTTTTCGCTTGCCACACCAAGCATATAGGAAATTCTTCACATCCCCCATGACAGAAACAGCTTGAGGTAGACAGAGCCTATGGAGTAAAAGTAGAAAGCATTAGATTGCCAATGTATTTGTACAGAGACAAGCCTCTGCACAAATGGAATATACAACAATAGCTGGTCACAGGACAAGTTCAGGAGTTTTACTTAAAAATAATTAGTTGTGTATTCTCTCACATGCATACACATTCAATTCCAAGTAAATATAGGAAATCATAGCCTTCTGGTTCTTATACGTATTATTTATTAATCATGTATTTTCCTGTTACCAACAAATATCTCTACCACTTTATAACTCACTTTTATATCAGAAATAATTTTAAAACGGAACACTAAAAAATCCTTACAGGTAGGACATATTACCCACCCAACAAGCCCATTTCCCACTGTTTTTGTTAGCTGCTATTTCAGATACTAGGAAAGGGGCCTTGTAATCTCAGGAAAACAGTATTTTCCCATTCGAGTTAAAATACTCCTTCTATTCCCTTTATTTGCTTAACTCAAATCTTGGTCTCAATCGAATGGAGATGCGCACCTTGTAGTGAAATCCCTTCTAGGTAGGCTTATTCTTCTTTTAACGCAGCAAGCGAGGTTTGTTAAACCTCAGATGGATTAATTGACCTTTTCCCGCTCAGCTTGAGAGATGCTGAACAACCCAAAGCGGTTTGACAGCACCACATTCAATGCAAGTTGTAGCCTAACGCATCTGAAGAGTGGCAGCTGCTGTTATTCCCACCTCTGTGGAAAAAGGGCTGCGTTTCCCTCTCAACCGAGCAGCTCTACTGCGCATGCTCTTCCCCGTTAGCCCGTTCCCTCTTCCCTCCGCACACGCGCATTCGGGCCGCGCTTGTCGCGTCTGCGCACTCCTTCCCTAAATTTTATGGGCTTTACATCCGGAAACACACTGCCCCATTGCGCAAAAATACATATGCTTAAGTTTTGTTTTTTTTTTATTAATAGACACAACCGAACCTGGTCTGGTCTGATCCTGAACACTTTGTCTCGAGGAAGGCGAGGCAGTGCGGAAAGTCGTTCGCTGCATTCAGGCCCCTCTCGCAGATTCCCGTTCTCAGCACATCCTCAAGATGGCGGCGGATTTACGCTTGCGCAGAGCTAAACTGCACGACTAACGGTCTAGTTTCGAAGAATGTCTCTGCGGAAGCGCGAGAACCACAGCGCCTCCCGTGGGAAGACATAGAATTGCAATGTATATAGGGGAACGGCGTGTACAGGTTTTCCGAATGGGAGTTGTGTATAATGTGTTCGTTCGTGGAAATCACATAAAAATAAAAAGGATTATAAAAAGCTTCTCTTTGGGGTAATGAACAGACGATAGATGACATGCTAAGAGGTCATCATACAAACCTATTGATAATATTGTACTCTTTAAGCGGGAATCTCCCGGAAGGGATCTCATTTGTCTTAGCAAACACAATACTTGGGGCACCTTAAACGAATAACAGTAAAGCCTTATGGGTCAAAGACTATTTCACAGGTTCATGAAGTAATTGCTTCATACATGATTGCAAGTTGGGGAGTAGGAACCATAGTGGTAGCTTAATTTATAAGGAAAACTGAGGGTGCAGGTGTAAGAAGTTAGCACCCACCCCTTTCCTGGAAGAGTGAAATATTTTAGGAAATATGAAAAAGGCAGAATATTATATTTCCCTGGATGAGAAATGGAGAAGCATATTTTACAGACAAAGCAGCTCCCACCTTCCTGCCCCCCACCCTTTGTCAATGGGCCATTAAGGCCTGGGCCAGTCTATTCTAATAACAAAGATCTACCTCCTTCAGGCAGAGCCATAGTAGGAATTGCCAAAGATCCAACAAAGATAGGATTAGCCCTCTACACAATAGCAGCAGAAACTCACCACATGTGACCTGGGAAGCACATGCGACCATCAGCCAGCAAGACCCCCACCCCCTGGGAGTCTGACAACCAATCAGAGTACTCTTTCTGGGCCCCAGGAAGTTCAAAGCCAGAGAGAGCATAAAACCTGAAAAACTCGCTGTATCTGCCCCTTTTCTGTTCAGGAACTCAAGCCATGTGATCCTGTCCACCATTAAACCATCTTTCCAAGCAGTCTCCACGTTTCCAGTGTCTGTTTCCCCACTTGGAGCAGAACCTAGAAGGAGATTTCTTCCAACACAGGCTTAGCATATAAGCTTGAATGTACAGTATATAAAAGCAGTATAGTGATTGTTTTACATGGCAACATAAAATCCTCCTGTTGGATTAATTAACTCCTTCAAGGATATAGAATACTATTAACTTTGCCGAAGCCCAGATATAATTATTGGTTTTATTCAGCTATATATTGAAGCCCTTGTGGAGATTTCCCCTCTAAGAGAATATTATTATTCAAATCTGCAGTAGACTCATTTCAAGTGCATTTAAATCTTCACCCAGAATTTTCTTGAGGTTCATTTATTCTGTATACATAACAAAGTGCTCTCTTAAACATTTTGAAAGTCATCCAGGTCATGGTTGTCCCAAAGCTTTTTTCAAGAGGCAACTGGACTTTGTTTTTCATTGAAGATGTTTCCCCTTCTCATCCAAGAAGCTTCTTCAGCTCTGTCTGGATGGTGGGGAATGGATTTACAATATATTCCTTGCAGACAGCTAATCATTTGCATTCCTTTAGAGCAGGGGTGTCATTGAGACCCGCATTAGGGTTGTTTTTGAACTTGGGGTGTGTGTGTGGCTGGGATGATCGTGGCCAGCTTGACATCACTCGTGTCAGGTGGGCACCTGTGGTGCCTGGGTGGGGCAGGGGGGGTCCATTGTCTCCAGCGGAGGAAGACAAGACCAGGGAGAGCGCCAAACCCTTGTCCTCCAGAGGAGCCTCGTTGTCCCTCTAATGCCACATGAATCCCCAAACAGTGGTGCAGGCTGTCCAGAGCCCTAAGCAGCGGAGGGCAAGCGCCCAGCCTGACCCTCGAGCTCCCAGGGCACCAGGACCCCACAGCCCAGCCCAGTCCCACTTCCCCGAGGGGGTGCAAGGCTGCGCTTACCTCCTCCTCGAGGCTGCTGCTGCTGTTCACGCTCTCCTTGGCCATGTTGCTCATGGTGTGTGGGTCAGAGGGAGGCCCATTCCCTCTCCATGGGAGAAGACCTGGCTTTGTAACCAAAGCATCCTCAATGATAGAATGGGAGACCACCAGGAGAGGACAGGAGGAGGAGACAAGGAATGGCAAAAAGGCAGCAGGGCTGCTGCTGGCCAAGTCCTAAGGCAGGACTTACTTCTTTCCTTCCTTTGTTTTCTTCTTTTTCCTTCCCTCTTCATTCTCCTTTCTTCTTACTTCCCTTCTTCCCTTTTTCCTTCCTTGCTCTCTTCCCATCTTCCCATCTTTTTCTTTGTTTTTCCTCTTTCCCTTTCTCCTTTCCTGTCCCTTCTTGGATGCTCAAATGCAAAAGGGGAAACATTTCTGCTTTTGTTTTGTTTTGTTTTGCTTTTAGTTTCTTTTGCTAGCCCTCTGCCAGCTAAGGTGGAACTTGGGGGCCAAGTGCACCCCCCAGGCCCGTTTTCAGCTGGGATGGCCTCCTGCAACCCTCTGCCAGCAAAAATGGAGCTCGGGGGGGGGGCACACTGTGGACTGGCACTGGTCCGCAGCATGCCAGAAACTGGCACATGCAAACAATCGAAGCCCCATATGCGCAATGCAGGCAGCACAGGAAAACCACACCCCCACCAGTCCATGGAAAACCTCTCTCCATAGAACTGGTCCTGGATGCCCAAAAGGTTGGAGGTCACTGCATTAAAGCATCTCTGACAGGTGACCATCCAGGTTCTGTTCAAAGAAGTCCGTTGTAGGAGAACTCCACTTCATAAAGCAGCCTGCTCATACAGTCAGGAAATTCCTCTTTATGTTTGGCATGGCATTGGATCTTGTCTGCCCCCTGGGTCAATAAAAAATAAGCCAACCCATCCTTTTCAAGTATTTGAAAACACTACTATATGTTCCTTTCACTTGTCTTTCCTATAATCTAATCATTTAACTGTCCCTCAAAGGATTTGGTTTCCACATCATTCACCACTTCAGTAACCATCTCTGAACTTGTTCTAAAATTTGAGTACTACAAATGGATCTAAGCAAGGCAGAGTAAAATGGAACAATTACTTCCCATCTACCTCAAAAGGGTAATCAAAAGCAATACTCCAGTTGGACACATTGCACAGTCACTTGGGAAACTATCTTTATTCAATCAAAGCATTTAGGGAAACAATTAGCAGTAGTTAGCAATCAGTTATCAGCAGACAACCAGCTGCATGAAACAATCAGTGGTTTCTTCTTTGTTTTCCTCTGTTCTGTCAACATTTAATGTATTTCCATATTAACAGAAGCAGAAATACATTTGATATTAGGTTTGAAAGTGCACCTACTCGACCAACTCAAGTGTATGGCTCAGACAATAATAGTATTTCTAAGCAGAGGACTCCTACTTGTAACTATCAAAAGGTATCATGAAGCCCTTGTATATTTTTCTCACTGATGGAATTTCGGCAGCAAGAAAATTAATGGTAGTTAAAGAAAAAACAGCAAGTATAAATGATGGGTGGGCAATTATTCATTAAAACCCAACCTGGAAGCACATTATAATTAAGATATAAAGAAAGAATATGATCGGATTTTGAAGTTCCTTGTTTTCTACAAGACCAAAAACTAATGGATTACCAGTATAATAGAAAGAATTTTAAAAGGCAATCTTCATTTAGAAACAAAGGGCTGAACAATTTCTCATGAAGAATATCTTGCCCATCTTCTAATGCAACAGGCAAGATGTTCAACACATTTTAAGATACATTTTCAGGGGTATGAAATCTTAATCCCAATTGCTGTCATAATCCAAGGAATACCTGTATGCTAAACATACAATGGTCAGGATGTATTTAACACTATTTTTTCTATTTGACCAGCAAAAGGGAATATCTGCTATAAATAGCATGGGTTAAAAAAAATATAACAAGTTAGTTTCATTGAGTGTTGTTTTAAATTCAAGATCTTATTTTTTTTTTTAATTTGATTTATATGCCGCCCTTCTCCGAAGACTCAGGGCGGCTTACAATGTGCTCAGCAATAGCCTTCATCCTTTTGTATATTTATACAAAGTCAGCTTATTGCCCCCACAACTGGGTCCTCAATTTACCTACCTTAGAAAGGATGGAAGGCTGAGTCAACCTTGAGCCTTGGCGAGATTCGAACCCTGCAGTAATTGCAGGCAGCTGGTCTTAATAACCAGCTTAATAACAGGGTGCCTTAAACCCCTGTACTACCAAGGCTCTCTTATTACCTTTTAAGAACTGCATAAAATGATAGTATCTGCTACTGTTTCATCCATTTATTTGAACTACAACTCCCATAATTAATTGGGATAGATTTGGTAGCTTAGAGGTGATACTCAGGATTTTATCAGATGGAAATAAATTTCTTTCCATGAAGTGTAGTCTCCTTTATCATTCCTGACCCTAGAAAACTTCTAATAGTTAGAATTTCAATTTGATCAAGGAAATGCCTGCTTTACTCATTTTTACATCAAAACAGTGTCATCCAAGGCTAGTACAACAATCCTCCCCTTTTCCTCCCCAATATTATAATATACTTTGAGGCGAATACTTATTTCATAGGCTGCCTATGGTTAAAAAGCGTGGTAGTAAACAAAAACATAAGGCTCAAAACATCATGCTGAGAATAAGTTCCATTTCATGATTTACTTCTTTGTAAAGATGAATGCATGTATCCTAGATAAATTGAGATGAAATCCCAGGTTATTTCTTTTTTAAATAATATTTGTTGTTCAGCCTTCTAGGCAAGGAGTGTGTAGTTAGCTTTATTCCTTTTTTTGGTTACTCTTTCATTATTTAAAAAAATGGTGCTTGTTTTTTTTTAAAAAAAGCTAGAAAACACTTGTTAATTACAATTCATAATTCCAATTGGACATGTTCCTATTTCAAGTTTTCAACAGTATGCAAATTTCAAGAGTAAATGTAAAAGACTTCTAGAGTTTGGGTTCTATAAATGCAGAGCTTTGAACACTACATTATTGTTCATATTGCTTCAAGATATGAAAGTAATAAGAAATAAATCACTTGCTTAAATTGTGCCATGCTCTCTAAGATTGCAGAAAAATTTCAGGAGATAAGACTTCTTTATTTGTTGGAAACAAGATCCTCCTATTTCAAAGTTACTTTCTTTCCCCTGGAAAATTTCACAGCATTGGCAGACTAGAAGCAGGTATCATCTTCCACACAAACAAGCCAGATCATTCTGGATAAGAAGTAGTCCAGGCTAAATTCATGAAACCTCATGAAAATGGTGCAATCCTCAAGTATTTCAAATACTACATTTCAAGTTACCTGTTTATCAAATTATATGGATATTCTTTTAAGATCACCATGAGGTTTAACCTGAACCAGAGAGACACATATTCAGCTTTTCCAGTTTGGTTTTTACTTTAACAATGAAGTCGTCAGAGACAGGTGAAAGTGGAAGTCGTGGTGGGCCCATCGGGATCCCGGAAAATAATGTCATGACTGCTTTGATTTGTGGAACACCAAAGCCTGCCCAAAGTGCAAAAATCATTCAGTTAACATACTATAGCATATCAATTGATAGTTTTTTAGTGATGTGTTAATGTAATACAGATAGTCCTCGACTTCCAGTTAGGACTGGAATTTCCATGGCTAAGCAATGCAGTCATAAAACTCAACCACATTGCTTAGCAATGGCAATCCTTGCAACTCTGCTTGCTTTCTTTATCCAAATCACAGAGTTGTTAGGCGAGGCAACTTCCCACAGGCTTCTCATGACCAAAGTCAGGGGGAAGTTGGCAGAAAGCTGCAAGTCGCCGGCCAGCAGACAGGCAAGTTGCTTCTGCCAGAAGGGGAAGTGTGTGAGAGAATTGCAATGGTGGGTCAGTGCAGGTTGGGGAGGGCGTGTGAAGGGGAGCATGAAAGGTGCAGTCTGGGTTGGGGAGGGTACATGAGGGTGGTACAATGAGAGTTGTGGAGGGTGTGCGGAGCTGTGCAAGAAAGGAGGTACAGTGAAGGTTCAGGGAGGATGTGAGGGAGTGCATAAGACTAGAATGATTTAGGTATAGAGAAACTAGAGGAAGGTGCATGGTGGAAGATACCCTAGTGACCTGTGACCTTTCCTGCCAGCTTTGTAGGGAAGTTAGCAAGGAAGGTTGCAGATAGCAATCACAACCAGTCATAAGTTGCAACGTAAGTAACTGATCACAATCAGGTGACTGTGGTTGTACTGGGATAGCCAGAACTCTGGTTGTAACCCACCATTCATTCAGCATTGATGGAAAGTTTGAGTCGTCACTGAATGAATGGTTGTAGGTCAAAGAGAACCTCTACTAAAATGAAAAAGATAGGGATTCAGATTCAAAGTATAAGAGATGTTTCAAATCTAGGATGGGTACAATCATTGAACCTGTCAATGGCTCCTAAAGAAAGCACACTTTTATCTGGGCTAGAGTTAAGGAAGTGGGAATAGGTGTAACTTTACTGCCTGGAAGTAAATGGTTACTATGTGATCCTAGCAAAACATGGTTTCTTTAAGGATCAGTTGACCGTTTACATGCTTCAGATTGCAATAGCTACACAATCCTTAAAAATGCAGTTGGAAAAGGAGTCTGAATAAACAGAAAACAAGAAATCTAGAACCACAGTGGCCCTTGATTAATGTCCACTCATTCAGTGACTGATTAAACTTATGACAGTGCTGAATGAATAGTACTTAGAACCATTCCTAGAAGCCTGCCCTTCCCCCCTCCCAGCAGTCATGTGATCCTGATCTGGACACTCAGCAACCAGCCCAGATTTCTAACCTTTACAATGCCCCACAGTCATGTGATTGCGATTTGTGAATTTTCCTGTCAGCTTACCTCAAGCAAAATCAATGGGGAAGCCAGCAGGAAATCAAAAGATGTGATCACATGAGGTCCTTGCTTAATAATGTAGTGATTTGCTTTACAACAGTAATTGGGGACTGCTGGAATTGTTGCTAAACAGCACTATTATGTGATATTGCACTTTAAGATCACATTGCTTAACAATGGAGTTGCCAGGCCCAATTACTATTAGGCGAGGACTACCAGTAGAAGAAAATATGAAGGGCAATTTGTAAAAGAAATGAATGAAACATGCTTGAATGGAATTCTACAGAACTGAACTTCTGGGAGATGGAAACTATTTAGGGAAAACTGAGAAGCATTCAGTCAATGTTAGCGAGCTATTTAGCAAATGGGTTAAATTATTGAAGTACTTACCTAGTGAAATGAGAAAGCCTAAGAACTCCTGAATGCAGAACTAAGAGAAACAAAGTATTATTATTATTCATTTAATGCAGTCAGTATTATATTCAAATCCAATACACAGCTGTGGGTCTGTCCCAATTGTCTTGATGGAAACAACCAGGAAAAGGTTTCTGAAGCAACTATTGTAATAGCTAAAGGTTACTTAAATATATTCTTTTGTAATAAGGCAGTTGGATTGAGTAGTTCCTACATAAATTCTTCACACAATGTACACTGAAGTCTATAGTTGTCAACTTGGAAGTTGTCAAAATTACTTTAAAATAATTCATGGAGAATAAGGTGTTAACAGGGGGGGGGGCACAAAAGGGAAAATACTGTATCTCTCTTGTTTTTGTTGGCCAGTATGAATAATAAGAATGTAAGAACAATTCTGGGATTCAAAAGACCTATATAGGCTAACATTTATCTGATTCATTACACAGAACTGTTGTTATATTCCAGATTCTCTTTTATGACACTAATTACCTGATTCTATTTTAATCTGGTTTTAGGTACGGTTTTGAAATGGACACTGATTGGATCACATCTAGAAGACCTTATCAAGAGCAAATATGACTGTTAATTCTGGAATTTTCAGTTGCTTTTGAGGCTATTAGTCATAAAAGCCTTCTGGGGAGGATAATGAGCATATAATCATTATATTGCACTTTAGTTCCTGTTTGGACATGTTATTTCAGAAAATAATAGCAGAGGGATCTACCTGAGCATACTAAGCAAGATATCATTACACAGATGACATTCCAATTTTTTAAATATTCACTTCAGGCAAAATTATCCAAGATTTGTATTGATATATTGGATCCCAGAGGACTAATGGGGCTGAAAGAGTTACATTCTATTATGCCATTTCACACTAATTTCTATAAATGAGAAAGGGGGGACATTTTAGAGCATTTTTCTTTTCAGATTCAGACCTCTTATGGATCACAACCTGATATGTTCCCATCAGCAGTAATCTAATTTAGGAAATTGTTTAGGAATGCTTGAAGTCTGTTGCCATTGTCTTGTCGTTTTCTGTCTCTTTCTATTAATTCATCCAAACAGTGGAACACTGTTCCACTCTCTTCTAATCTGTATAATATTTCTGAATCAATTCCACTCTTTCAATTTCATAATACATTCAAAGGACTGTAATACATGCTATGGTTTAATTTTTAATTTAGTTTAATTTATTAAATTTACATGATGCCGGACTCCCAGTGGTAATTATAGCAAACAGGAAGCAACTTGCAATTGGCTTTAGTCAGACACATACACATGTGCATACGCGCGCGAGTACACAAACACACACAAACACACACACAGAGGGATCTAATTATGTGATCTGTTAAGTTTACTTGTTTATGTTAATGTCCTACCAGTGGGAGATCCCAGGTTCTAAGCTAAAGTGAAAAGTAACAACAACAAAAATCCAGAAGGCAGCAATGGCAAACCACTTTCCTATTAGAAAATAAAACTAACATGAATGGATCCATGTAATTCATCAGAGGTTAAGTTTGACCTTAAAACTTACTTTTCAGCCAGAAACATCATACCTCATATTTTTGTGCTGTATTCAAATCTCCAGAGGCAAAAGCTTCCAGTATTAAGTTATGAACCTTGCCCAGATAGTTATATGTACTGTTAAAAAAAAGAGAGAAAAGTAAATTAAAGCATTCAAGACTTGTCTACACAAGCAGGCAGTCGTTGGTTAACAACAGTATTTGAGACCAGAATTTCCACTGCTAAGTGTTGTAGTCATAAAATGCAACATGATGTGACTGCACTGCTTAGTGACCACAATCCCAGCAATCCATTGCTGTTGTTAACCAAATCCCATTGTCTATTAGGTGAGATATACCCTGATCCAAACCATTTTCCAAGCTTGCTCCCTTACAGCCCCAAGCCTTGATAAAGTAAGGGACTGCCTCCTCTGCCAACTCTTGAACTTCACCCATCTGCCACCCACATACCTGCTGCCACCTTTGACCCTTGCCTGGTGCACCAGGCATCACTACTGTACTGGCTGGGGGATTCTTTCATGCTGCCTTTTTTTTTTTTTTAACACTGGTGCAGCCTTTACTTCTCTTGCACTGTGCCCAGGGCCTCCTTTTGTGCTCCAACCAGGCCTTCTTTCGCAAAAGAAGACAAGCATGTGAAGGAAGGTTGGGTTCTCCTTTTGTGCCAGGGCAGTTGGGGTCTTCTTTCATATGCCAAGCTTCTTTCAGGAAGGAAGACCCTGACTAGGATGCGAATGGAACCCCTGGCTGGCCTATGAATGGATGCCCTTGGCAAGGCATAAGAAAAATCACAACTGTACTTGCATGAAAAAAGGCCCCGGCCAGAACAATAATGGTGCACAGTGCAGCAGGAAATGTAGCAGGATCAGGCCATGGGGAGGGCTGGTGGCAGTCAGTCAAAAGACAGTCATAAATGTGGATGGGCCTACATGGGCCCAGATTTTGTTCATTGCAGGGGTACTGCAATGACTGGAACCTGAAGGACCGGTAGGAAGTCCTTTCATTCAGCACTGTCAAAACTTCAAATGGTCACTGAACAAATTGACATTAAGCAAGAACTTTCTGCAATTGCAATTAGAGCAAAGCAAACAGTGTACCAGTATTATTCCAGTGCTGGATGTCCAACCGTATAGGTAAAGGTTCCCCTGCACATGGGTGCTAGTCGTTTCCGGCTCTAGGAGTGGTGCTCATTTCCGTTTCTAAGCCGAAGAGCCAGCACCGTCCGAAGATGTCTCTGTGGTCGTGTGGGTGGCATGTCTCAGCGCCAAAGGCGCACGGAGCACTGTTACCTTCCCACCAAAGTGGTCCCTATTTTTCTACTTGCATTTTTTATGTGCTTTCGAACTAGGTTGGCAGAAGCTGGGACAAGTAATGGGAGCTCACCCCATTACGCGGCACTAGGGATTCGAACCCCTGAACTGTCAACCTGATCGACAAGCTCAGCGTCTTGGCCACTGAGCCCCCTGTATAAGGGATATCAAATTTTAGAAATGATCAGAAGTCTACGTTTTCATGGAATTGTTATTAAAAAATGTGGAATCCTTTGCTTAGTACCCTTTCATACAAGCAAAAGTGTGTCTCTTCAACCTTCCTTTTTAAAAACAATATTCCTTCCAACCCCCAATTAATTTTAATGGCAGATTATTCCATTCACACTGGAGTTTGGGAAAGCATTTCCCCTCAAATTTTAAAAATGTGTATACATGCATATTCCAGAGTGAAACAGTCTAACAATCAACAATCAAGAAAAGAAGAAAATTAGCTGGTTCATAAGTACTTGGGGTGGGGAGACAGGAGGAAAGCCTTGTTACTTATTATTTAAGTATTTAAAACATTACACATAGGGAAGCAGATATAAACAGGAAGAAACAGGTTCTTCAGTTAGGACAGGTCAAAGAGTCACCCACCAGTCATCCCTAATAGCCTAGACCTAAATCAGTGATGGCGAACCTTTTTGGCATTGGGTGCCAAAAGTCTGAGCGCGTGAGCGCTATCGCGCTCCCGCATGCCGGAACCCATAATGCAATGCGCGCCCCCATTTACGCATGTGTGCACGACACCCGCACGCTCCCTCTACACACGCGCCCACACTGCGCATGCATGCCCTCCCAATGCGCCCCCCCCATTTTTTCCAAGTGGGACGGCATACCTCTTACCAGAGGACAACTAGGTACCGGCCCGTTCCCTGGTGAGACAGCATGGCGAGCGGCTTGCCTGGGCTCCTTCCCACTGGGAGCTGCAGGTCGAGCAGGTGGTGGACAGGGACTGGCTGCACCTATCGCCACCTAAGTGGAAAGCCCAAAGAGGGGCATCCCAGATGCGTATGCTGCCCTCAGCGCTTCCCCGACACCTGCCTACCGGCTCTGCGCCTTGCCTGCTTCCCCAGCTCCTCTTCTCTAAATGAGCACTTGGCAGCTGGAAAAAACAGGAGCCGACACATTCTCCCCCATGGAATCCTAGCTTTCTCCTGCCTTCCGCGATCTCCAAAGTTTCTCCCCCATGGAATCCTAGCTTTTTCCTGCCTTCCGCGATCTCCAATGTTCCTCCCCCATGGAATCCTAGCTTTCTCCTGCCTTCCGCGATCTCCAAAGTTTCTCCCCCATGGAATCCTAGCTTTTTCCTGCCTTCCGCGATCTCCAAAGTTTCTCCCCCATGGAATCCTAGCTTTTTCCTGCCTTCCACGATCTCCAAAGTTTCTCCCCCATGGAATCCTAGCTTTTTCCTACCTTCCACGATCTCCAAAGTTTCTCCCCCGATTGAGTGTCTCCTGCCTTCCGTGCCTCCTCAGATCTTTGCAGTTTCTCCCCCCATCGCGTGCTAGCTTTCTCCTGCTTTCTTGCCATGGAGAAGCATCTGCAGAGGGTAGAACCTGCAGAGATCGGGGAAGGCCCTGCCTCCGTGCATGCGCAGCAGAGACCAGAAGACTAACTGGCTGATGGGAGGTGCGCGCATGTGCAGTGGACCTGGGCTGGGGCGACGGCTGGCGTGCCGACATAAAGGGCTCTGCATGCCACCTGTGGCACGCATGCCATAGGTTCGCCATCACGGACCTAGATATTTATCTAATGGACTCCTGTGACATTTGTGCAGTTATACAAAAGGAACAAAGATATTCACATTTCAATTACAACTTAATTGATCCAATTCAAACTACAGAAGAGATGAGCAATGAGTTCTTCATGTGTGTTTTAATTCAAAATCTAAAGTAGAATGGCTCAAATTAAAAGTATTGTCTTTTCTTATATAGAAGGGAGTAATTCTGATTGTAAAAATTATCTCAAAATTACCAGCATGGTTAAGTGCTATGTGGTTAAATCACCTAAATCACATTTTTGCCCCCTTCATTGCTGACATGACCCAAACAATAGGTATACCACAAACTACCAACACTCACAGGTAGAGAAAGTAGGAATTCTGTTTATAAGTTTTAGCATCTATATGTGAAAACTGAATGTATACAAATGGAAACATTCAAGAAACAGAAGATTGGCTCTTGAGTGCTTCAAACCATGCCTGAACAGCTTAGACTTCAAAAGTTAATGTTTAGACACTGTTCAAAAGTATAAGTAACATTATGCTAGTTCTCACATTTATACATATGTCTCAGTAATAAGTACGGTAATAATTCACATGCCGTTATTAATTACACCAATGCAATATTATTCACCATCAGTTGTATTAATTGGCCCTTAAATGTATCAGAATTGCAATAAGACTTGGGGTTTATCTAATAGGACTCAGAAGGATTTTTCTTAATATTTAATTCTTAAGGGCTAAACAATTCTGAGAATATAGTTCTCAAGATGGGTGCTTTTAATTAATGTCTCAAAAGATCTGGGAAAAAATGCTGGCTGATAATTAGAATAAAGTTGGCTAGGAAGTTTAGTTACAGTTCAAGCACACCTTAATACGCATTCATTTGGGAAAGACTGTTCTACAGAAGGGAATGGGACATCTTGCCACATCCAGCTTGCCATAGCCAACTCACGAGACAATTTAAAAATTCTATTTAATTATTTAAAATAAATTTTAAAAATATTTTAATGTTCGCCATTCACATTTCATCCTGTCCCTCCTTTTATATCCTTTCTTTAATGATTCTGTTGTACCATTTCTTTGATATTAGTGTAACTCTTGTCCCGCAGTGAGTTGGACTCAGCACGTTGCCTGTGGCGATCCTTTACAGAAGATATAGCACCCAATTCATAAAGCCTCTTCGCTCATGTACAAAAGACAACTTACCTTCCAACTGCCCCATTTGCTCCTATCACCAGTGCACTCAGCAGTTGCTACTTAGTAAGAAAGAAAAATGGTAGGTTTTATTTACACATTACTGCAGCCAACAGAAGTATTCCAGTAAAACCACTTGTAACTGACATAGTTCTACACCATTCAATAATAATATAGTCATGTTGTTTTGGACATACAAAGGTCCTCTGGCAAGATGGCAATTATTTCCCATCCCCGTCTATTTCCCTGGACAGCCCATCCAGCTATTCATTCCCTCCTTCTATTGATTTTCCATTCTCTCTCAGGATTGCTCTACTCAACAGATTTCAGCTTTTACACCCAAACCAGTCAAAGACAAGGGCTCTCGCCAAGTAGAGCATGCATCTTCATTAAAATATATTATGTTTTGGTCAAGGAAAGCACTAGGAATATTCAGCATTCAGAATACAACTCTATTTCGTTGTATTCTCAGAAGAAGCCACCTTGTGTCCACTATAATTGACAACATTCTATATAAAACCCTTACCTCATCCACACCATACATAAATACAAAATTGTCTTGTTCACTTTTTTGCAGGCATTGCCTCAAATCCAGGAGGTCTCTGTCACTGAACTTCACCCCCTTAAAGGTGGGAATCTGCTCTTTCATACTAGCTAGTAATTCTTCAGCACAAACTGTACAAAAAGAGATTTGCAGTAAACCAAGAGTTCAAGTCTGATCAAGTAAGAGTCATTATTACTGTTGCATCATTGCAATAATAAACTAAAAATAAACTTAATTATCACACATGTATACTGTGTTGCAATTCTATTCAACAAAGCCAAGAGTAGTTATTAAAAGTGGGAAGTTTTTCTTAGACTAGGTTTTTGCAATGTGGCATCTTCCAGATATTTATTTAAAACCACTCCCAATTAAGATATTTGGGCCTGACTTGACTACAGGTAGTCCTCAACTTACGACCACAATTGAGTCCAAAATTTCTGTTGTTAAAAGTGAGACATTTGTTAAGTGAGTTTTGTTCCATTTTATGACCATTCTTGCCACAGTTGAATTTCTGCAGTTGTAAGGTTAGTAACATGGTTGTTAAGTGAATCTGGCTTCCCCAGATTTTGCTCGTCAGAAGGTCACAAAAGATAAGCACATGACCCTGGGACACTGCAACGGTCATAAATATGAGTCAGTTGCCAAGCGTCTGAATTTTGATCATATGACTATGGGGATGCCGCAACGGTCATAAGTGTGAAAAATGGTCTTAAGTCCCTTTTTTCAGTGCCTTTGTAACTTTGAACAGTCATTAAATGAATTGTTGTAAGTTGAGGACTACCTGTACTACATTATTTTGAAGTGTCTTATTCTCTGTCTTTACCAATAAACCAATTCTAGTGTGTTCAAGAAAGTTTCTTTGGAAGAAAACAAGCATAGAGTAGCAGCCTTAAAGGAAGATTACTTAGACATGGTTTAAAAATTCAAGACAGTGAAAATGAATTACGGAAATTTAAAACGTAAACTGAATAAATAAAACAGAAGTGTGTATAACCAAAGTTATTTTGAAACAAACTGTATTTCTGCATTTGTAGCACTTACATTTAATGCCAGTGATTGGAGGAATGTGATAATAATAGAATGGGATATTAGGAGCTTGAGATGCAACATCCCGGAAGAAGGCAACCAATTCATCTAAAGTAGGACAAGGGAAGCAATGTGGAACATAGAATAATTGAAAATGGGGAAAGCAAAAGGAAAAGCATTACTCTGGGCTTTCATTTGGATAGTGTTCTTCAATTTTACACATTTTGGTTATTTTATCATCATCCAGACAGAACTGCCATGGCTATGCTGGAAAAGATTGATGGAACCTCACTCCAGCCCTTTCGAAGGGCACTGGGTTGTCAAAACTGAAGATTTTAGCTGTTGAATTCATATTAATTACTTTAAACAGTGGTTTCTTTTTTTCTTCTTCTTAGCATTTTCCCACAAGTGCACAAGGTCTGCTTTTTTCAGATCAAATGTTGATCCATTAGTTGTGACAAGAATTGACTGACTGGCTTGATGCTTGAGCCTCATGTTATGGGCTGAGAGACTGAGTGACTGGTCCAAAGTCATACAGCCAACTTTCATGCTGAGGTCTAGAACTCATAGTCTCTTGGCTTCTGGCCTGTTACCTTAACCATTAGACCAGGCATGTCCAACCTGTGGCCCACAGGCCCCATGGGGTTCTGGAAATCTAGTAACCCAACCCCACAAGATCATAAACTTTTAACATTATTATATTATATATTATATTAACATTATTATATGATTTTATATTATAAAACTACAGGCAGTAGTCCTTGACTGAAAACCACAAATGAGTTCAAAATTTCTATTGCTAAGTGAGACAGTTATTGAGTTTCTCCCCATTTTACAACCTTTTTGCCAGAGTTATTAAGTGAATCTTTGCAGCTAAGTTAGTAACAGTGAATCTGGCTTCCCCATTGACTTTGTCAGAAGGTCGCAAAAGATGATCACATGATCCTGGGACTCTGCAACAGTCATAAATATGAACCAGTTGCCAAGCATCTGTATTTTGATCCTGCAACAGTCATCAGTGTGAAAAATGGCCATAAGACACTTTTTTTCAGTGTCATTGTAACTTTGAACAGTCACTAAACGAGAACTATCTGTATATTATATATTTTATATGTAGCCCAAGACAATTCCTCTTTGCTCAATATGGCCCAGGCAAGCCAAAAGGTTGGACACCCTCAATTAAACCAAATGTATCTTCACTGCTTGTAAATATTCAGGCATGTGTCTAGGATGAATAAGAACAGAAAAAGTTTCAGCTTTTCCTTGAATGTTCATACCTTGGCAGGCTCTTTAGTAGATGCCTGAAACAAAAAGTAATTCTTTCCAAGCAAGATTCTCATAGAATCTTCTTTAGCCAGTTTGAAATGAAAGGAATAGAATTATAAAAGCTGGACTTTTCTGTGTAAATCACTCTAATTTGCAGAAACCCAGCATGCTCATTTTGCCTTTTATCATCAAGGAAGCAACAAGGATTCCAAAAATCTATTTCTTCTTTTCTGTAAACCGCATCTGGCTGCTAAGATTTCACAAGATACGGGCTGTTCATATATCATCTGCATGCAATGCTATATTCATCTTTTTTCTACACTCTCACCCAAAAAAACACAGCTCTGTCTGTATGCATTTTGAAGAACCTGGAGGGAAAATTATAGGTTGGAAACAGCAGTCAGCTAAAGAGCTGGTTTTGCAAAAACCACTACCATTTCCGATATTTTATCACAGCTGTGAGCAGCTTATGAACTCCCAAACAGCTTTCTCTGCAGAGCTTGGAGCTTCCTCTGAATAATAGTGCAGTTTTCAATTCAAAACATTTGCAGAATCTTTAATATGAGCCAAACTTCTAACCAAAAGATTGCCCATCTTACTTTGATTTACACGCTTATGCGTTTATGAAACTTGGCTGACAAGTAGGGAAAACAATTTGATACAATGTAATGATCTATTCACCTTTATTCACCTGTTTGAAGAAAAAAGGGGAAATGACCGATATGCCATCCGCTCCTATCTGAGCTGCGTGCTTGGCCTGGAAATGAAGAAAGGAAATGAACTGAAAAGAGATATTTATATGACTATTGTTAAATAAATAATGTTGAAAATGAGTAATGCTAAACAGTTAGTATGACAACAGGACCTGCTGATGTCAGACTGTATAAGCTCCTCAGTGGCTTAACAGTCACACGAAGAAATAATTTAGGAAGAACCCACCCTGATTGATGAGGCAGTCAAAAATGGTAGGGGACTATTGTACCTTTAAACTTACAAAATTCTGTTAATAAAGCCTTAAGTAGAACTGGTTCATCTAATCATGTTTCCTATCTGGTTTTACCTGGAAAGGCCAACAACTATGGCGATAATGAAATTGGCTCCCTTTTTGATTTCTCAGACCATATTTGGGAATAATGCCTCCTGTTTGGAAAAGTTTTCTCCTTGCTCTCAGTATTCTGCTGCGCAAAAATCAAAGCACGGACAAAGAGAAAAGTGCATAAATAGACACACTCACCAGTTCCTTGGATTCAGGTAAGCTCAGTGATCCAACATGAATTATTACATGATCCAGCCTGTAGGGAAAGGAATTTTTTTTTAAAAAATTTTTTTGATGACAGGCCGAGATTATCAAGGCATGGTGGTGGTGATAATTAAACTGATGATTACTTATTTCACAATATTATCTTGCTTTGTGTGTTATATGACCCTGCTGTCTATCATTGATAAAGTCACATTTTAGCAATCTTATGTGGGAAGAGTTGGAGGAGGAGGAAGAGCTATGTCCCCTTATATGAAATGTAAATATCCCTTAGCCCCATTGTTATAGCCACTGCTGAAGAGAAGATGCGTTTAAATGGATTTATCAAGCCTTTGGACATGCCCATTTTATTAAAAAAAAAACACCATGCCAACAGCCTTGGCTGATACCTTGGCTTCACTCTCTATAGTCATCTCATTGCATCAAGTCTGAATTTCAAAATTTGGAGGCAATGTGAATGATCCTCAATTTACAACCACAATTGAGCTCAAAACTTCCATTGCTAAGCAAGACAGTTAAGTGAGTAGTGCCCCATTGTACAACCGTTTTTGACACTGTTGTTAAGTGCATCGCTGCAATTGTTACTTAACAGTTGTTAAGCAAATCTGGCTTTCCCTATTGACTTTGCTTGTTGGAAGCCAGCTGGGAAGGTTACAAATAGTGATCACATGACCTTGGGACAGTGCAACTGCTATAATGCATGCCAATTGCCAAGGGTGCAAATTTGGATCACATGACCATGGGGATGCTACAATGGTCATAAGTATGAAAAATGGTCATAAGTCATTTTTTCAATGCTGTTGTAATTTCAAACAGTCACTAAATGAATGGTTATAAGTTGAGGACTACTTGTATTTTACACATCTCCAAAAAAGGGAGTAATTTCAATTACATCATATAATCTTACATGCAGGTGTCCAGAACCATTTATCTGAAACTACATATTAAGTGAAAAAAGTCAAACCTCTAATTATTTTGTATCTGTTAAGAGTTGAGAGCTTTTCCTTGAAAAGGCGTTTATACTACTAACTTCAAAACTTCAGAATTTTTTTCTACCAGCTCATGATCATTTTGTTGGGGGCAATATGCTGACATTGTAAACCGCTTAGAAAGGGCTATAAAGCACTATGAAGCGGTATATAAGTCGTGCTATTGCTATTTTCATTGCCAGCAATTTGTGGATTTTCCCTACTAGTATCTAACCATTTTATGGACATGGGTTGGTATCTCTTGTGCTTTCTAACCTGTTCCTATGATGTTACCTTCACCTTATTGCCAATCCATAACTGGGGTAGCTTAAAATTACTCCTATCAGTTATTGTTCAGGGTGTCAGTTATTTTATCATTCCAGCTGATGTTGGCCTCCACACTGGAGATAGGGTTGCAGATCTAATGAGTGGAGAATTTTCTTTTCTTCTGCCTAGTCTGCCTATCCTACCTGGCTCAAGGTTGACTCAGCCTTCCATCCTTCCAAGGTCAGTAAAATGAGGACCCAGATTGTTGGGGGTAATATGCTGACTCTGTAAACTACTTACAGAATAAAGTACTGTGAAGTGGTATATAAGTCTAAGGTCTAAACCAGGGGTGTCAAACTGGCGGCCCATGGGCTGGATGTGTCACATGCAGGCCACGCCCACCCCAGCTCCACAAAGGAAAAGTGTTGCAATACGTCATGTGACGGCAATGCTAATTGCTATTGTTTCTCCTGACCAGGCAGTGAAAACTGGTAGGTGAAAAAGATAATTCTAACAGATGGCTAAACCTGTGTATCTGCCCATCTCCTGCTTGAGACAAAATAAGGCAGGTATAACTACTTCAATGTATCCAATCTGGTTTCTTCCAGATGTGTTGAACTTAATTTGACAGTTGCATAGCAAACCATCAGGAATTATAAACAGTGAAGTCCAGGAGTTTTGAAATGAATCAGGTTGAGAAAAACTGTCATAGTAATCACTTCCTATTTTTCCTCTTTGCTCAACAATAGGAAGAAGCAGAGAATTTGCAAGTAAGAATTAACTTATTATAAACGATCACATCTGCAATGTTCTGTGAAAACAATCTCACTCACTGGCATTTAACACCCCCCCCAAAGCAACAGCAGCAATTGGAGAATGCAGATTTCACAATCTAGTGTTTTTGCTTAGTTAGGCAACAATTTCACAGAAAACACTGCAACCTTTGCCACAAAAATTACTTACTTATCTTTGCCTTGAGTCACCCATTCCTCTGCCAGCTGTTTTCTCTCCTGAATGCTTAGGGATAGACCTTCTCCTGTTGTTCCATTTACTATTGTTAAAATATATACATTTGACATATAAAAAGATAGAACATAAAGTGTTTCACAAAGAAAGTTAAAAGAAGTGTTACATTTCATTCCCTCCAAAGCATCTAACGTGGTTGTAAATATCAAAACCTAATGATGGCGTCTCCATAGAGTTCACTCGGCCACATCCCTCAAAAGGTGGCAGATTAAAAAAAGTTTTATTTGGGAACAATCACAACAGACATGTTTGGAAATAAAAATACAGCAAAATTATTCAGAACTGTTTTGTCATTCAAACCAGCAGGAGCAATTAAAACTAAACCAACTAGAAAAATCAAAATGGAAAAACCAAGCAAAGATGACAGGCATTTTCTTAATATTGAGAAAACTAAATATTTTTTCAGTTCAGTACATCTACAACTTACATGCGTTTATTTCTAATTTGTGATGGTTTTACTATTTACTCCCAAGTTTTGTTGGTTGTGTAGGAAGCCTTTCTCACTATTGTCCATCAAATGTGTCAGATACTTGGGAGTTCCCAGCTACATATCAGAATGAAGTGTCCTTGGTGCTCTCTGAGTTTGCTTGTTTTCTTGCAGACATTTCATCACCCTAACTATGTAATATCATCAGTGCTACCGTAGTAAGGACTGCTGTTTGCTGTCAGTTTATATTCTGGTGTCTTGCCTGTCTGTGGTGGTTGTCTTAGGGATTCTTTGGTTGGGTTGTTTGCTGATGGCTCTTTGGCAGTTTCTTGATTGAGGTATTGCTTACTTGATCCTTGGTCTGAAGTTAACCTTGGAGTTAATCTATGCTGATCTGGGTTCTGATTACTGGTGGATAAGTGTTGGCATCTTTTTGTTCTCTTTTGGGCTGGTTGATTGTCTCTTTTGCAAAGATAGACAGACAAAGGCAGAACCAAAGTGATTATGGCCAGAGCACAATACCTACAAAAAGCAAAAGAAATAAGGGAGGACAAAGAAATCTACATCCCTGTGAACACGGATATAATACAAAAACTAGGGTGTCAAATGGCTTCAGACAGCACGCAAATGGGAAAAATTTGCCTGCAGGCACACTTCCACCAAAGAACAATTTTTCTTCTTGCGCATACACACCTCCGACTGCATGCCCTCACCTCTCAGTGTCAGGTACAAACCTCCAATCAACTGCACAGCTGGACTGAAAATAGCCCAAGAAAGTGGGCGAAAAATGATATGGCTCATGGTCATAGGCACACATCTCAGATTAAACAAAAATCTGCTCACCATAGCAAACTTCAAAGAATAGTTGGAACAGACCTTCTCACCAGAGCACATGGAGAGACTGGCTACCACCATCATGAATGCATCCCAGAGACATGCTGAGAAAAGAAAAACCAAACTGCAAAGCAAACTCCTGAAACTCAATTCCAGAACCAAAGAAACATCAGAACTTGAATGGGTGGCCAACAAGTTCAACCGCCCACTATCCAGGCAGAACACAGGATTCTACAAAAAGGACTCAACTATAATAGAGATGATACCAATCACCTATAATTTTTTGCAGCCCTAGAAGGGACATTTAAAACCACCAAACGTGCCACAGAGATCCCAGAAAACATTAGACAAAGATCATTCTACACATTGGAAGAAGACAGAAAGAGAATCAACTTACAACAGAAGACAAAGCAGCCCTCAGAAACCTAGTGGCGGATGAGAAGCAGCAGACCCATCCTCCCACACTTCTATGTATGCCTCCAAATACGCAAACCTGGCATACTCCTCCTCCCAATCGTATCTCTATCAGGGACCCCTACATTGCAAAAGAATTAACAAAAAAGCTTGGGCATCTCACAAGAGGAAGTCAACATTCCATTAAGTCTACAGAAAAACCACCCATCCTAACTAGGTGCTCTACTACCAAAGCAACAACCCAACCTCTCACAAGAGAAGCTATATAAGAATTTTATTTAAACGAGCCCAAACTGGGCTGCAGCAACCCAGAACAGCAGAAAGGGAAATGGAGCATCTATACAACACATTCCAGCAAAATGGATACCCACACAACTTTATCAAAACGTCCCTGACCACTCAACCGAATACAGCACAACCAACACAAACCCTAAAAAGAATTACACTACCATACATCAAGAATACCTCAGAAACCACCAACAAGCTACTACAACCTCATGGAATCAGTGAAGCACACAAGCCAACGAAAGCCCTTCAAAACACCCTAAGCAAACCAAAAAACCCAGCAACCCCAGGAGAAAAATAGGAGTTATCTACAACATACAATGTAAGAACTGTAACAACTACTATGTAGGACAAACGGGCAGAAGACTGCCAGAATGCATCCATGAACACCAACTGGCAGTCAGAAGACATGATGAAAATTCTTTAATTTCACAACGTATAGATAAATTTAACCATACTTTCAATTGAGAAAATGTGACAATAGACCAGGCCAAATCCAAAAATGCCAGGGAGTTTCTAGAAGCCTGGCACTCTGACAAATCAGCCATCAATAGACACATAGACATTAACAACATCTATACCAGTGATGGCGAATCTTTTAGAGACCAAGTGCCCAAACTGCAATCCAAAACCCATTTATTTATCGCAAAGTGCCAAAAGGGCAATTTAACCAGAATACTGAATTTTTAATTTAGAAAAAACAACTCATACAACTCAAACAACTCATTAACCATCTTTTGTCTTAAAAGAAAAACATAATAACAGAGCTTTCAATGATACAAACAACTTTTTATTGAAAGGCAAAAGTTTGCATTTGGCATGCTTTTGAACAATTAATGTGATTTTTGCTGTTGTGTGCATGCTGCCCACTTTCAAGGTCTCTTTCAAAAACCTGCAGTTTTCTCTCAAATGTTTTGATTCTGCATGCACTTCTTTTCCAATAGGATTGGAGAAAGCAATTCTGTGGTTTACCTTTAAGATTGTATAAAAATTAGTTTTGTGTTTTGTGTGACATTCTTATAGATAAGCCTCCAGTGGGCAACAAGGCAGGGCTAGCGGCACATGCAGGGTTGGCACAGCAAAGCCCACACTGTGGCCCGAGCGCTCTGCTTCCCTCCAGCTCCGCTCCCCTCCAGCTATACCACGCTGTGAGCTATGCTCCCCTCCAACCTAACTCCTCTCCAATCCCACCACGGGAATCACCTTCGCCACAGACTCAACAGGCTGCCATCCGCACCGCACCCTCATGCCACATGAGCTGCCCGCCTTACCCCAGACAGGGGAGGGAGGAAGCGCTCCCATTGGGCTGTTAGCAGAGGGGCGGGCGATATAAGAAATGTCCTCAGGCGTGCATGGAGAGGGAAAGGGGAGCAGTTCCTCTGGCTTTCTAATAATGAACTCTGGCGAACTCTGTGCTAGAGCTACAGCGTGTGTACCCACAGAGAGGGCTCTGAGTGCCCCCTCTGGCACGCATGCCATAGATTCGCCACCACTGATCTATACTATGCAAAAGAGACAATCAACCAGCTCAAAAGAGAATAAAAAGACTCCAGGACCTCTCCACCAGTATTCAGCAACCAGATCAGCATAGATTAACTCTAAAGTTAACTTCAGACCAACGATCAAGTAAACAATACCCCAATCAAGAAATTGCCAAAGAGCCATCAGTAAACAGCACAACCAAAGAATCTCTAAGACCACCCCCACCCACACAGACAAGCAAGTCACCAAAATATAAACTGACAGCAAACAGCTGTCACTTACTAGCACTGATGATGCTACCTAGTTAGGGTAATGAAACGTCTACATACAAGAAAACAAGCAAGCTCAGAAAGCACCAAGGATCCTTCATTTCAACCCTGAGCTATAAATATTCTCCTTTATTGGTACATCTCAGAATTTCAGTAATCAATACATTTGAAGACAGTAGAGATAATCCATCTAAGATAAAATATTTCAATTTATCAGTTCAACACTTTAGAGTCAATTATGTATTTGTAAAACCTAGTCCATTCTTTTAAGTGAGCAGCTTTCCAAATACCTACAACAAACAAACATAGTTTGTTTATCATTGTTCTTGGCAGACTGTTCAGCATCTCTGCCATCAGGGCTCCTTAATATTCAGCCTGAGTTTTTCTGCCCTTTATTTTTTGTTCTACTCATGGTTTCAGTAGAGAACATTTTGCATATAGCAGTGTTTTAGGTATTGTTAAACCACTATCGTCTAGTGGTTTAACTTAGTCTCTTTTTCTGCAAGCCAACATACCCAGATCCTTAAACTGTGTTCCATTTGGCACAATGTTCAAGCCTACTGAAGTAATTTTGAACTGTGATTCTTATCTTCTATGTAATTAGCAATCAGCTTGGTATCATCTGACACCTCAGAAGCATCATTTCTCTTCCACTGGGGCTTGTCTCCTCTGTTCCTTGATAAAGAGCCTTGGTGGCGCAGCAGACTAAAGTGCTATTAAGTAACACCAGCTGCCTGCAATTACTGCAAGTTCAAATCTCACCAGGCTCAAGATTGACTCAGCCTTCCATCCTTTCGAGGTAGGTAAAATGAGGACCCGGATTGTGGGGGCAATAAGCTGACTTCGTATAAAAAAGAACACCGCTTAGGGGGGCCCGAAAGCCCTACTAAGCAGGTATATACAAAAAGTATGAAGGCTATTGCTTAACACATTGTAAGCCGCCCTGATTCTCCGGAGAAAGGGCGACATATAAATCGAATCAATCAATCAATCAATCAATATATATATATATATATATATATATATATATATATATATATATATATATATGCCACGTCCTCTTGGCAATCTCATTCCTTTGTAAAGAACTCTTTGTATAATACCCACATGTCCATCACTTTTCCTGATGAATCTTAAATAAGGCTGGTCTCCAGTCCTTTCAGCTTCTCCTTCAGAAGGGGAGTAACTTCCATTTGCAAACAGGTATAACTGACATATATTTGCCATTCAAATATATCACAGCAGCTACTGCTTCAGTGCACCTGTGATGCAAAGGTTCAGAGGTGGGTTTCAGCAGGTTCTGACCAGTCCTGGAGAACCGGTAGTGGAAATTTTGAGTAGTTTGGAGAACCGGTAGTAAAAATTCTGACTGGCCCCGCCCCCAACTATTTTCTGCCTCCCAAGTCCCAGCTGATCGGGAAAAAATGGGAATTTTGCAGTATCCTTCCCCTGCCACACCCACCAAGCTGCATCCACAGAACTGGTAGTAAAAAAGTTTGAAACCCACCACTGCAATGGTTCCTTCTCCTCTTAATCTTCCTCACAAAACTATTTCTCCTGCTTATTCCCCTGTACCCTTATTCCAACCACTAGTTCTGAGTTGTTCATCTTCTTTCTACAGAGGTCTAGCTAAACCTTGAATGGCTAAGGAATGCAGGTCCATCCTCTTGCTAGGTAATTATGAGGTCAGTTATGTCAGCACAAGTTAATAAGACATTCCCCCTCAGATCATGTGCTCAATAAATAAGTGAATACAGCATCCCTCCAACACAAAACAGTTGCTTTGAATCAGCTAAGCATTTGGAAGAGATCAGCTCTTCCAAATTTCATTCCCATTTACTCTCCTGCTTGCTCTAGTTGTAAGCTAGGTGTAAGCCTATTTCTTTTTAAGGAATGATGCTAAACTAAGGCAGTTGAGGGCTTTTAAATCCTAGTTTTCTTGGACACATAATCCCAAATTTAGCTTATTTAGTAATTAATTTATTTACCTTAGTTAGTATACCACTAGTTTAATTAGCCACTTACACCAAGAGAGGGACAAAGTGGAATCAAATGGACTGAATTTGTATTGTTTGGTCATATGCTGGATAAGTCACCTTTCATAGTTATCTCTTCTTGGTTATCCATATTTGATACTGTATCTATTTCTGGACAAGAAGCTGTTCTTTTTATTCAAAAGAAAAATTTCATGTTATGATATATGTCTTACCAAATACATTCTTGACACCTTGATGATTTATTAAGTAATCCACATACCGGCTGATCAGAGAGAGATTGATGTTTCTAAACAGAAAAAAAAAAAAAAGGAACACAGCAGATGGAGCTAGTTATAAAACTTTTACAAGTAACATCTTTCAAACTAAACTTCTTAAAGAGACAGAGCTTCAGATTTCCCCCCCCCTCTTCTGTCATTGACACCAAATAGTGAATAAGATTGAATAAGCAGCTTCTACTACTTCCCCCAAAGTACATTTTATGAAGGGGAAAAAATAGTTAATAAAAGCAAGCAGAAAGTGGTTCAAAACAGAGTTGAATTTTGATTTGACTTTCAAGATTTTGCTTTGGAACAAATTTTAGCACACACAGAAAGGCATTTCCATCATCACCTTTCCCTATTAAAATCCAGGTAGGATCAATGAAGAACAAAAGGTCTCAAATATTCCCAGCTAGAGACAGATTTTGTCCCAAAAATATGAAAGAGGGCAAAGGCATTGCCCCCAGTGCTATACATTCTCATTCCAAATTTACTACATTTGCTCAAAACTATTCTTCACATAAACAAAACTGACATCACATTATATTCAATAGCCTGAGGAAGTAAAGCTAATTTTGGGTGTCTTCATCCTTGCACAGTATCAGCAGCAGCCCCATAGTTCACTAACTGCTCTTAAGTTTACCAAACAAGAGTTATTGAGTGATCTGCATCCTTAACAGTTATGGATAAAGTTGGATAAAGTCTCTGACAGGTGTATTTGTTATAGAGAAAATTGATGTACCACCAAGTCAATGTCAACTTTCATATAGAATTTCTCCAGGATAATCAATGCCTAACCCAGCCTTTCAAAAAAACAGCTATATTGATAAGTGTCACACATAGAGATACATATACATGCACAATGTAAGCCCCAATAATCCTTTCCAAAGTAATTATTAAATACAGGGAAGATAAAAGCAAGGTGCAGAGGAAAAATGGATTTTAGCAAATGTAGAAGACAGGAAGGGAAAATTGCAAAGTATACATTCCACTTGTGTAATAAAGGTATTTCAGGCAATTCAGGCATGTTAAATACTTCCAAAAACCAAAAAAACAAATATGATAAGACTCAAGGCACTAGTTAATTATTGCTATCTGGAAGGCCATTGCCCCTATATTTGAAGATGTTTGAATATAGTACATTTAAATTAATTTCTGAGCCCACAAAACTGATCTAATATTGCTTTTAGCATCTATAAAACATTTACCCATCCTCAGACATTGGGGTAATGGTGGCTGCAACCAGCCCCTGTAGTTTCTTCTGGAGTGCCATGAAACAAGCCGAGTCAGATATAGAAGAAATGCCTGGAATAAGCAAAAAAACAAAAATTAGTACCTAACAGTGAATGATTTCTATTAATACTAAAACTTTAAGGCAAAGTTCAGGACCAAAAATATGTGAATATCTTCCAAGAACATTGCTTACTATTTCTGGTATAGGGCTCTGGCCACAAATCCTGTAGTAACATTAGACTCAAACAGCTTTGTGGAGTTTCATCAACAACATATAACAAAGAATGCAATATGTTGAGTCCATCAACAATATGTTCAGGCTATACCTTGACTAGATCTGACTGACCCCGAGTGACCAGAGCCAGAAAAATATTCTTGGAGCAATGGAAGATATTTAAGAGGAATATTCAAGTGGTGCCTTGGCCTAGAGGTAGAGCTCTTGCCTTGCAATCAGGAGCTTGTGAGTTTGATCCTAGGTAGAGGCAGATATTTCTTTATCTTGGCACACAGAGAATATCTGCTGAACAAAATTCCGCATTGGTGACAGGAAGGGCATCCGGACATTGAAACACTCTGTTAACTCCATTCAATTGTCCAGACTCCATCCAGCAAGGGATAATTGGGTTGATAAATGAAGATGAATGGAAGATATTCAAGAGTCTTACTACTGATGAACAGCGGTTTTAGTTTGGACCTGTTTAGTTTAGATTTTGGCCTGGTCCAGAGACCCATCAATTCAATTTAGATCACAATTTTTTTTCTTTCACTGACTAGCATTGGAATTAATAATAATTTAAAAAACCCATAAATTTCAAGAATATTACCTTCATTAAGAGGATATAAAATCTGTTAAATTTCACAACCGGTCAATGAATTTTGTTAGGTGTTGTTACATTTTAATTTGTCCTAATCCAAAACACATCCTATGCTTTTTCTCCAGTTTACAAAGCAAGATTTTTTTTCTCTCTCCCATCATATGAAGAGCCTCAAGAGTTTTCTTTTGGGCATTTACCCAATATTACTATCAAATTTGGCATTTGTCTTCCATGGACTCATCGCATAATTTACTTTGGTTAAACCTAGAGCTATTTTATATGTATAAAGGAGTGCTAGAATTACGTGTTCCTGTTAATTGTAGAGAACAAAGGTAATTCAAAATGTAATCTCTTACATTTTGTAATTGAGTAGAATCATTGCTATAGTAAACTAATTTAATCAGGCTTTTCTCAGAACACATAACAGGCAGCAACATATGATAGGTGGAACTTTATCTCATACAATCTGAGAAAGAATTTTGTAAAACTCATTGCTATCTCCAATATTTTGTAAGTTTCATCCAAATGAAGGCATTGGACTATTAATGTTTCACATGGGCACAAATAGACCCAATTTCCTTGGCAGAAGCCAAGTCTTCATTTTATGCAAAAACAAAAAAAGTTCTTAAATTTCTCTAAGCTTATTTGAAAACCTACTTTCAGATGACTGCTACCTTCCCTGAATACAAAGCCCATGCTTTTGCATACACTCAACCTCACGTGCTTCTTGTAAAAGATAAATGAGCCACTATTTAATCTTAGAGTTTAATTATTTTAAATTATTATTTACATTATTATTAATTTTTAAATACTTTTAAAACAAAATTTTAATTTATTTAACTTAAATAGTTTAAATTTAAGAACTATCTAAATAGTTCTTTAAATTCTTTAAATAATATATGTAAAATAAATTTATTTAAATAATTATTATAATTGTCTCAGTACTGAACAGAAGTCGGAGGTCACTACTATATAGTTGTTTGATTTTTTTTTTCTTGTCACCTTTAACTTGTCCCGATTTCCTTTTATATTAGTTTGCATTTTAATGTTTAATTTTGAAATTTAATAAAGCTATTCAAAAAGAAAAATATCAGCTACAGCACAGATGTTTAACCAGTCACTAGCTTCGCTTGCTCAATCTGAGTTGTCATCATTTTGTTTTCTTGTTTTTGTTTTGTTTGCGGGTGTTTTGAGATCTTTTTGCACCCAAAAGATGGTTCTATCCTCATACTCTCCTTTCAAATCCAAGTTAAGCCAATGCTTCCCAAAGATGCAATACACAATAAACTTACCACTCAGCTATTCGGGATCAATGCTGTCCAACGCCGGTTTCAAAATCACATTAAGCAGAAGAGATGTCTCCTGCCCCCGCCCTTCTCTCTGTTTTTTCCCCCTCTCTCTCTTCCCCCTCCCACTTTTTGGAAATACTGAGCATGCCCGGAAGCAATACTTAAGTCCTCTGCCTTGAAATTAACTCTTCACAGTATCCGAGCCTGGAAGGTTGTCCGCTGAGAAATGTCAAAAATGTGGAAGTGTCAAAAGGGATTCGTAGCGGAATGGAATTCAAATGCTTATATCCTATGGAAACTGCGAAGGGCTTTGTGGTGAAGAGGAAGTTCCTCCCCCTTTTGTTTTGTTTTCTTTAAGCTATAGTTATTTTTAAGACCTGTAGCCCCGCGTTTGAAAAGAGCATGCCTAAAGTATTAACCTCTATGTACCCAACAGTCAGTTCCATCAAATCCAGAAAAAAATGCTTTCAGATAGATCGATGGAGGATAATACATTTATGTAGGACTATTACATTACACCCGTTCCTGTCTTTGGTACTTTAGTGTGGTAAATGTATTTCTCCCCTTCTATTTTTTTTTTCTTTACCACAATCCTGAAGAAATTTAGTCTGATGCTAAACCAGGCATTAATTGCATTAATCTTTTATAGTTGTGGTCAGAACTAGAATATGGCATCTTTAGTTTACACGTTTTTTTGTTGATGCAGCTAGGTTTTAAAGATTTGTTTGTGCCTTAGCAAAATAATACCAGCTGTCAGAAATAATATAGGGTCTCCTCCTTGAGCAGGGGATTGGACTAGAATAGATGACCTAAAAGGTCCCTTTCAACTCTGTTATTCTATTTTAAAAGAAAGAAAACTATAATGTTGGCTCTGGTTGAGAGAGCAATCATAGCAGGATGGGGAAGTGACAGTAGAATGAGGAAATAGAAGCCAACCTATAGAAATGCTTTATGTAATCCTGGTGGCAGATCACATGCTTTATACTTCTGAAATGCTGGCTGGAATTGCAATAAAAAAATACTCACGTTAACTACAATTTTTTTTAAAAAATATCCAAAACCACCAAGTTAAGGGGAATATTTGTTAGACCAGCCAAGGATTTATTGGAGTTAATTCAGTATCTGGCTGAACTTGTCCAGTCTCAAAAGTAACAGGCTCCTGATTTTTAATTGGATGGATGGGAACTCATTGGGAAATTTCAGAGAAGATGAAAAAAATATAACTGGGAGAAGACTATTGAAAACCCCTTCTGTACCGTTACAAAATAAAATTGTAGGGATGTGTCTTAATATTTATCAGAGGTCAAGCTTGACTCAAGGGTGTCTATATATTTTAAAAAATTTCTTACAGCTATTTTTTTTACCAGTTACAGGTTTTCTGGGTGTCAAACACTTCAGATCAAGTGACTAAATGCTGGGGGTGGGAGTATAATTGGTACAACTGTGACTATAATTATTTTTTAAATGGAAAGATTTATGGCTTCCTTTGTTAACCATACATTTTTTTTTCTGACTAAATGGCATGGCCCATACTAGCTCAGACAGGTGTGTTCTTTGGTGTGTGGCTATGATTGGTAAATTGTATCTGAAGGCTCTAGGTCTACCACTTCTTGTTTGTAAAATGCCCATGTTGAGTTCAACATGGGAGGCAGCTAAAGGAAGAAAACCAGGAATTAAGAAAACCTGTATGCTTGAAGACGCATACTGTGAAATAATTAAGTTGTGGAAGGGGATTCCTTGTAAGAGGAAGGCTTGCTTTTGAGGGCAGGGGGCAGTGTGCATGACCAAAAAAAACCCCCCAAGAACCAAAGACTGGAAAAATATTTTAATGCAAATAAATAATTTGAGGCTTTGGGAGTTAGGGTAGGAGATGTTTGTAATGGGTGATTGGGATTTTCATTTTGTTTTTCAGATGGAAAGAGCAACGATATATCTAACCAGATTGGTAGTTCATGTGAACCGGAATGGAAAAAAATTAGATCTCTCTCCCTCCTCCTCCCCTTACATATACACATTGCTCCTTTGGCTGAAGTTTGTGTCTTCTTATTCAGCCTAATGCTGTGTTTCTCAACCTTGACAACTTGAATATATGGGGACTTCAACTCCCAGAATTTCCCAGCCAGTTGAAGTTGAAGTCCACAGAACTTCAAGTTGCCAAGGTTGAGAAGCACTGTTTTGAGGTTATTATATTCTGTGCAGGGCAAAGGAGACCCCAGGAGCTAAAATCAAGCCCTCACAAAAAGCTAAATTATGTCAGTCCCTTTGCTCCCAAAACTTGAAAAAGAGACATTTCTTCAGTGGAATGTGAGTAATAAGTTTCCACTGATAGACATCCCAAAAGAGCTAATTATTTTTCAGACATAGCAAGTTAAAGTACTTCTGTGGTTGTCAGTGCATGTAAAACAACCTGTATGGGAATGAATGAAGATATTTTGGGCAAAAAGTAAGGAAATCCTTTAGAAATAAAGAGTGCTCTTTATTTCTCTTCCAAACATAACTTGCTTAAATTAGTAACAAAAAAATAAATAAATAAAATAGAATGATGAAAAGTTACAATACAAAAAGATGTGGCAAAATTCAGTTGTCTTTAGAATAAGTTCCTAACTTCTGTAATTTGATCTTTGCTCACGCATGCAGTCAGAAAGGTGTGCATTGTTTAGTATATTTATACATCTGTATACTGTTTCTCAATTTGTGCTCTTGTTGAGAGACAAAAATAAATGAGATGGAGTATTTGCAAGAAGGGTCAGGATTTCATATATGCAGACTGTAGCTAACACAGGGTACAGTTAGGATTGCTTAATTTTTAAATTTCATAAATTTATATTTAATGGTATTAAAGTAGATTTAAATTAAATTCACAAGAGCCAGTTTACTGTATTAGTTAAGGTGCTGGCCTAGAAACCAGGTGACTGTAAATTCTAAGGCCTCCCTTAGGAAGGAAAGCCAACTGGGTGACTGGGCTGGTCAGTCTCTCTCATCCTAAACCAACTCACAGGGTTGTTGTTAGGTGGAAAACAGAGAAGTATTAGGAGGTATTTTCTCTAGCTTGAGTTATCTATCTAAATAGTACTAAAACTCTTGTTATGACCCTTACCTGGGTGAATCAGTGCATCATAAGGCAACATTTTTTTGAACCAAGGTACCTCAAATGGGCTAACTTACAGAATGCATCCAAAATTCAGGTTGTGACTGCTTCAATACTACTGGCAGCTACTGGGTTGCTGCTGTGGTCACATGTTCTTTATTTTCAAAATTCCCTGATAATTTTCGTCAGTCTTGCAATCCCTCACTCCCCCGCCACCCGGAAGGAAGGAAGGAAGGAAGGAAGGAAGGAAGGAAGGAAGGAAGGAAGGAAGGAAGGAAAGGAAGATAATGATAGAATGACAGAGAGAAAGGAGAATAAATAAATAAAATAGAATGATGAAAAGTTACAATACAAAAAGATTGTATTGGGGGAGGGAGGAAGGGATAATTTCTGATGCTTCCTGCCAGTTTCCCACAAAAAAACTCATTACAGAAGTTGGCAGCAATTGAACGTTGCTCTCATCCCCTTTGCTATTTTGCCCGCCTATAGTCATACTATTTCTCTTTTTACATAAAGAAATACCTCTGAAATGTTGACCTAGTGTGGCACAGGTTGTTTGTATACTATTTAAAACTCTCATTCCCATAATCTTTAACTGGGCAAAACAAAGCAAAAGGCCACACTGCTTGGATCTACAGATATACTGTACTGATACATTAAGACACCATAGGTTCCTGGGAAGAACTTGATCCATATGAAGGCCAACAGTAGCTGAAGAACTGGCAGCTGTGATTTCACATGTTTGGGTATGTAATAATAACTCTATGTTATTCTTATTTTCCTCATTTTTGACTTTTTAGAGGTTCATGTATCATTCTATCAAAGAGACTTCAGAGTTATTTGCATGACAATGCTGCAAATAAGAGAAATGTGTGCAATAGCCTGAATGAAACAAACACGTAACATTCTGACAGGGCTTCTGAGGTAAAACAGGATGTAGCACTGTTGACATAAGAGGGTATATCCAGTACTAGCAGTTCTTATACTAGGCTGTAGGTGAAATGCTGCCTGTTAGCCAAAGGGGAGATAGCATGCCTGTATTATTATGAAATTCCCAAGAAACACCTAGGATTGAAAGTTTGCCCACTGGCAAGATTGTATATGTATATACCCAAAGGCAGAATAGGAACCCAGCCTTTGAACAAGCCAGTTAAAGTGGTTAATAGGAACTGGGCAATCCATCCCATGGAACATTCAGTGAAGCACATCAGAAACAAACACTGATTGTGATAGGTGCTGGAAAACAGCTAAGAACAATCTAAGGCTTTATGGATTATGTGACATCAAATCAATGCTGACTCTTTGTGATCACATAGACAGGTTTTCTACATTAGAGGCAATTACAGAATTTGATGAAGGCAGGATCATGATTACATGGCAGGAACATTGTGGGAGTGTGTTTGTGTCACAAGTACACGTGAGGAAAAGCTCAGGGGAGGAAAGAATTTGGCAGAAAACAGAATCAAAGCTAGATTAAGATAAGCACATTCTTCAAAGGATTGAGAGGGAAGTGTGAAGAAGCTCCTGTTCTAAAACACAAATTGTGCCTAAACCCAGAGGAGTGGGATTCAAAGATTACTTTTTTGGAATGGTTAGTTTATAAAGTATGGTAACTGGAAAGCAGAGGTTGGACTATATTTAGTCCAAAAAAATACAGAATGTGCTCAATATTAGATAGCCCTGATATTACAATATTTTTTTTTCTTCCATTAGCCCTAGCTCTCGATAAACTCAATTTTATCCTAGCAGTCATTCTTATTTTCTTCAAATCTGATACCCTTCAAAACACTTTGTGCATTGTTTAAGGAGTGGATTACCAAGCTCAATTACCAAGCAGGAGCCCAGAAATAGGAAAATTTATATAGTATTTGATCTACAGGAATATTTGAATAACTAACCATCCATACTCCTATTAGGACAGAAGTATGATGTTCATCCATCGTTTTCAAAGAAAACATCTGTGGACAGTTGTGGGCTGTCCACAGTGTGTCCGCAAGTGGCTGGAAACGC